ATCGACAATGAACTAGCCAACAGAAGAGGCATCTCAACGTGAAGAAAACGCTATCCTTCTTTTCTTGGACGACGTTAGAAATGCGTTCCAAGCGACTGATATTACCCCAGCAGTATCACCGGAATCCATCTTTGTAGGAAGCCTGACAGAAAGATATGGCATTCCTCATAATAATGATCGTTTTAGTCACCAAATGGCAAAYATATCTAGTTATGTAAGTGGACTGAAAACCGATATAGACGTGATGATATGCTTTGAAGGGATGGACGCCTCTTTTTTTGGTCTGGAGGGAAATATTCTTATTACATTTCTACTTCCGTTTCTTGGCTATGCTCAGTTAACCTTTAATGCAAGTGGGGATGTGTTCAGTTCAAAAGATATCATGRAGCAAGCAAAACGTGCGATCAGCTGCACAGAAGTCACGAATTTTCCAAGAGTTAAATGGTGCAATGGAATGTGTGAGTCGTTTAATGGCTTAAAGTATGGAACAACGGGACCTGCCATTAATGTTTCTATTTYAAATATTRTYGATTGTGATATTACACCTTGYATCAARTGYTRTGAGTGGCCGCCGCWYAGCGACTGGCMGAYAAGASAACGTTGCTGGCCCAGCCAGGAMGATGTCRACAGGATTTYGTCCMATGGCTGTCAYTTAGTAGCCAAACCAKCGCCATTCGATAAAGAACAAACAAGCTGGAGGTTGTCTTTTTCTGTAGCAGAAGYTGAGCTCTCCAAACTCGTGCCCAACACAGCCAGGAAATGCTTGTTGGCGCTCAAAATCATATTGAAGGACCACTTGCARCCAATTGCTYCAATTTCATCATATMAACTGAAAACTGTCTTCTTAAACACCCTTGAAAAGACTCCAGTAGATTTCTGGGTGGAAGACAATATTGAAGACTGCTTCTTTTTGTTGTTGAACGAGTTCCACGATGCTTTGCTCACTGGAGAGTGTCCTCATTTCTGGTTCAAGTCGGTGAATTTGTTTGCAAAGTTCATTGACCCTAAGACGACTGCCGTACTGATAAAGAAATTAGAAATAATTGCAGAAAACCCGGCTCCGTTTATTTTCGACGATGGATGTTGCTGCCTTTATCCATGTTGTACGAGAGAACGTCTTTACGACTGCCGAGGAAGACGGCTTAGCAACGATGTCGGACATGAATTCGAAGATGCGGGGATATATGTTGAACTTGTTAATGAACACGTAGGCGATAATGTTGAGCAAACCATCCATCCCGAAACAGAAGAATCTAATCCAGTTCGGGTATGTTATCCAGGCAACCAAACAGCCGGCTCAACAGCGCCAACTTCTGAATAGGCACTGATTGTAAACGTTCACTCTGATGATATTAGATACTGTTGATGATAATGATGGTGATGATGGTGATGATGAACGTCGTCCGATTATCCACCATACCTTTTCTCGGTCTAAATATGGTGCGATCAAATTATAAGACAAAACTATGAACATGAACGTCATGGCACTGCGCTCGCTACCATTTATAAATCGTTGTGTAAATAGAAAAAGAGCTTTAAAATGTTTGAATGGTTAGTTTGATAGTTTAGATGTTGATATTTATTGCCCATAGGCCATCATACAGTAGAATGTTACTAGTATTAGCAGCAGCAGTAGCAGCAGCAGCAGTAGTAGCAGCAGTAGCAGTAGCAGCAGCAGTAGCAGTAGCAGTAGCAGCAGCAGTAGTAGCAGCAGTAGCAGTAGTAGCAGCAGTAGCAGTAG